CATTACAAATAAACTTTTAACAAATAAGAGTGTGTATAGTTTTCCTGAAAAAATTTCCATTTGCAAGACCATATGCTTTGCTCTTTTAATTCAAGAGAAACGACTTTAAAGCTCGCGATTTTGGAATCGAAAAAGTGCTGCTCCGGCATGTCTTCGTCTTGCAATCTATGAAAAATGCAGAAAGTAGAGAAGAGTTTAATGCAAATAAATGCAGACGCGTTTAGGGTCCAGAACGGGTGAGTGCGGGACATTATTAATTTATTCATTCCCTCGGGAACAACCGGGACGACGACCGCAAAAGAATAAAGCGTCAAATGACTTAAAATACAAACTCATAGTGGTTAGAAAAAGCGACGATGGGGTCATTGGCAAGAAGATTTGATTGGAATGGTTCTTTTTTAATCTATGCAGGAATAAAAAGAGGATGAGTTTTGCGTTGCCCAAAGACGCGTTTGATAATTTTCTCTATCTCCCCTTGATGGAGGCTCGCAGGGGCAGTACTCGTTCTTGTAGCGTCTTGTTTGTTGGAGACCTCAGGCGTGTCGCACACGAGTTGCGTGTGAGGAAGCATGTTTTTACATGTCGTATCGTTACTGAACCCCAGTTCTGTTACCCAAACTGAGTAAACACAGATAGGCGCGCGTCACCGTCATTGTTTGATCATGCAAATTGTAGATTAAAACCAATTTCACATTCAAAATTATTCGGTCACATTTGGCCACAACGTGTGAAATGCAACTGCAACGCAAAGACTTTCCTTGCAGTTTTATTTCCAACGCGCTATTAGCCCACGACCGGCTATATATAACAATTTAAAATTAACATTAAAATTCTTTGCATGTCGCAATTTACATTGCTTTCGTTCTATTGGAGCAATTATCAGAATTGGGGAGTTCTGTCAGCACTTAATTAGTTGCTGCGGCGGAATTAAGCGCTGCGATAACGCCATTATTACCATGAAAACCTGATTAGAAAACAGTGCGGATTTCTAACTTTCAATTCCAAACCGAACTGCTAACGGCCGATGGTCCTAATTCCTATAGTTCCAACCCAAAATTCTCCAAGCTTTGATCTACATACTTGTGTGGGAATCTACTACTGACCCGACGTTATTCAAAAATTATTTTTTTTAATGTACACCACTACAAAGTAAAAAAGTGAATTCATATTTCTGAAATGTGCAGTACTATTTAGAGGTTGTATCTAATTTTCTTACTAAATTATTATTTTATGTAATGTATGGCATTTTAAGCTCACGAGTCAATACGGAGCATATTGCACTTATTTGCGCCATTGTTGATATTGTCGCAGTCAGTAGTGCTTAATTCGTCCTAACAGTAAAATTTAGGCAGTTTTAGTTAAATAATTTTGGCAGCTATTCATATATAAAGTTTGTTTTACGTATTATTTTATTTATTTTTAAAGTCAATCTCTGCTGCAAGTTTAGCGAGAGTTTATAAGCTTTACCTCCCAGTAGTAAAATCCGATTGAAAAAACTCGCCAGGAATTTGCAGCGCAGTGAACAAAAAATTTAATGTAAATTAATGAAATGCCACTGAATTAACAATTTTTATCCGGATGGGAAGTTTGAAATAGAGTTTAGAGTAAAAATAATTGATTTTAAATAATAATCGATTTGTGCTCAAATCTATATCCAGGTTGAGATCAATGACTAGAATAGCATAAGTATCATACAAAGTTGGTTCATTAGCGCAGCCCAATTTTATTATCGTCTGAATTGTCCGCACTTATACACACAATCGAAATTCGAGCCCCCTTCACAAACTCCAAGCCAGTCAATAGCTCGTAGACCGTCTACCTCAGCTCTGTTTCAGGTGATTCGACAAAGGCTTACACATCTCGTAAAATTTAATGCATACATGAAATGAAGATGAGTACCGTCGGGAATGTGGCCTGTTCCCCAATCTCTGCCGGTCAGGAATTGTTCGATCCTCTAAATTATTCATAGGTCGACGGTTATCAACTAACGTCTCTCAGATTGATCCGCTTCAGCCGATTTTTATTAATAAAACCTCGTCGAATACATGTTCAAACCCTTCTTCACTCCCTTTCTACAACAATTTTTCATTGACTTGAGGCGGAAGTAATCCAGCCAACGGAGAAGCAGATCATTCACCATCTACACTAAGGAGGAAATTATTTCTAAAAGGAAATTTTTTATTGCGTGATTTTTGAAAGATGCGTGAATTATCTAGCTGGTCCGGAGAGAAATTAGAGTTGGTCGGTTTATTTGTGTCATGTCTGTGTACAACCATTTAGAGGGAGACTTTCGACGGTCCGAAGGCCATATATCTCAAAGTACAAACGCTGTTTCTTGCGTGACAGTTTTTGTCCTCCAACAGCACATCCCTTAGCTTCCATTGTGGTTTTCTGGCAAACGATACAAGTGCCACAATTCATGGCTTCCGAGAAACAAACATCCATTTTTTGTACGAGAGGATACTTTACAACGAACACTACAGATATCGCTACAACTTGACCAAACTTAATCTAATAAACCAGTTAAGAAATTTTCCCAACACTGAACCATTAGTCGACAAATTTATTCGATATCCTACCCGCACAGTCTTCATTTCTCGCTATTTCACGTACATCTATTTACACCTAATGTCAGGGGCTTAAGGGTTAGGGTCCCGGTAATTAGTACGCTATTTGCCGTCATCCGTCTATCTCTAAGGAACTGATTTGCAAACCCCGATTTACTTCATCGTCGATGCAGAGGCGCACTTCAAACATGTTAACTCAAATTTTAAATGCTAATCCAACCAGTAATCCAATTAAGGAAACGCGACACTATTACACTTCTTTCATGCAACGAGCCCAACTAAATATACACACTATTTACAGCATATTTATTAAGTCTTAACTCTGAAAGAAAACTTTTACTTTGATAAGTTTTGAATAACTTGAAAAGGATACGTGTTTACTATACATATACCATTATTACGATCAATGAAACGCGCAAAATAATATTTCAAACAGTATAAACATCAACAGTTTAAAAAACCTAAGTTGTATATCTAACTCTACATATTAATTTTGTTAATAAAATATCATAATTGATAGTTAGAAACGCAAATTTGTTGTAGAATAAGAATAAAGAGTTAAAGATAAGCAAGTATCATTTGTATGAAAATGGACAATTCAGAAAAAACTTCATTCCGAAGCATGAATGAACAAAACAGCACATTTTTGTAGTTGATATAAATGCAAACAAAGCTCCAAAGTTTAGTTTAAATTGCACTACGTATAAAGCAGTGAGTTAATTGACGAAAATATTTGAGCAAATTGCGGTTAATTTTTAATACTAATCTTTAGAAAAAGAGTGAAATTCGCGACAGAACCTAGTTGTTTCAGTCAACTGAGAGTTTCACCGTTTGTTTTTGCTTAAACAAATACCCATCAACACTGATTATACAAAACGAAATTAATGAAAATCAGCGAACCGCTTGATTAGTCGGGTTATTAATCATTTCTTGAGTTCAATTTTGTGTAAAGAACAAGAAGACTGCAAATATTTCACCCTTGGAAAGTACACGATGACTTTCGTAAAATAACACAAGATAACGATACGATTTAACTTTGCACAATGCCTGAAAACTAATAATTTATGTAATAATGTGCTAGGTGGAGGCTAAGCAATGCCGCCGGCTTTTCACTCATAAGATCTTGCTACAGCTAACTGGCAGACGTCAGCCTCAAACAACAACTTCGAACCCTTATATTTTAATTGCGTTCCATCTTAAAAGCCAATAAAGTTGAGTTAGCTCACATCTTACAGCTTCTTCACTTCGTAAAATGCCATTTTACACACCCCTTTGGTTCCCCATCATTCTCATTATTTTGACTAAATGTTGCCTGTTCTAAATCAGAAAAGCAAAAAGACACTGCTGGGAAAAACCCAATGCTTAAACTTTCTAGAAGATATCAACTAATTTCAAAGCGGGTATGCAAATTAATTGCTTTATTTTATTTTTCTTTAAAAAGTCTTTCTTGAGTGCTCTAAATACATTGTCTTATTCTAAAAGTTTTAAATAATTCTGATTAATTGCGGCACAAAGCAGTTTTTAAATAAATTTGAAAGAAATTTTAATGAAAACATCTGCTTGTAAATTAGTTTATAAATTTATTAGATGTTCCCGGTATATAGTCGTTAAACTGTTAGGGAACAGTAAAAGGCTAAAAGTTAAGACACTAACCGGGATCCCCTCTACAGCTCCGTAGCAATTTTCTAACTTTTTAACGAAATTGTTGAAATTTGTATTCCCTTCAGCAGTAGAGAGGGTTTAGATTTTGCAATGTAGTTTAACTCTACGACACTTGAAGAGTTATTCATAGGATTCCGGTGCATTTAAGTTGCAGGATGGGACATTAGCCGATTTCACTATACCAAGACGACATTCAATAAATCGCTTTTGGCAAGCCAAACTTTTTTCTTAAATCGAAAAGGAAACTTCAGTTTCCTGTTTTCTCAACGCCTAAATATTTATTGAATCAAACTTACGTAAACTTAAACATAGTTTTCAAAAAATATTATAAAGAAAATCCAGCTTGTAATGAGTGGTAATTACAAACGGCTATAGTGACTTTGATGAGCGCCATGCCGACGAAAAGATACACCGTTTTAATTTGTAAATGCAAATATATATAGCAAAATGAGCAATTACTAGGAGCCAGCTTCAAGCGAGCGAACTGAATTATATTTCATTCTGTATACTTGCACTGTAAAGAAAAAAAAGAAAAAAAACAGATATTAAAATAAATAAAATAAAATTTTAATATGTAGTAAAATTATGTAATATAAGAACACGCATGCCTGGGTCATTGTTTACATGTTGTAGATTTGCTTATGTTAAATGTTATGAGAGTGTTAATTGGTTAATGGGTATAGAAGAAAGTCTAGACTGTCAAGGACGCAGACCAAAAGAAATTTCTGCGAGCCATTGGTCAGAGCTGGTTATCTGGGAGGTAAGTGTTACCTTGGAGGGGCTGCAGCTGTTGGTGTAGAGTGCGCTGGCCGCCATTGGCGGGGCATAACTAGGCATGGAGAAGGGAACAAAGACCATAGGAGTGTTGTTTGTGGCAACCTGAAGTTCGGCTGTGTTGTTATTGTTGTTGTTGCAGCTACAGGCCGTGACCAGTAGCTGCGGGGGTTGTACTCGTGCGGCCGCCGTGTTGGTGGTTGTCGTTTCTTGGTGACCTTGACAGTGGTGCACCTGCACTTGCTGTGTGGGGTACGGTTGGCTGCGAGCCGTTTCGGTAACTCTGGTGCGAACGGGCCCCGTGGAGGTGGTGCAAGAGTTGGCGGCGTGACGCGGTTTCCACACCGCGCACGGGTACACGCCAACCAGGCTGTAGCCCACGAGGACCGGTGTTGGAGCCAAGGCAACTGTTTATGGGTATCCTGCCGCACGAAAAACGGCTGCAACCGCAGCTTGGTCACTTTTCTAAATTCCGCTGTAGGAGGGTTTAGAGCATCGCCGGCGGCCGCACTTCACAGCACGTCACACGTCACACACGCGGCACCGGCCGGTAGCAGTCCAAACAGAATGCGTCGAGGAAGATGCGTGTACACTGTGTTGATCATGACACGTGGAGCGCGGCGCAGACTAGGTGTCAGTCTCGGCAACGGCAACGGTAACGGCAACGACTTGGTCAAGCGGTGTAACAGCAGGCTATAGAATCGATCATGTCGCGGCTGTCGCACCGATTACTGACAATATTTCGTTTTTCTGTTAGATATGAACAGTTGTTCAGGTTGGGATCGGCGCGTTTCAGGTCGCAGCCGCCCGATAAATAAGCAGCTACAGAACAGCTCGGACGGCAAAGGCCGGAGGCGGCAACGCGCGCTCGCTAGGATGAGCGCGGCGGGCGTGTCGCAGGCTCCCTGAAGCCCAACGCCAGCGCAATCAATGAAATATACACTATACAGACTACACAGTACAGAACATGAACTCTTCTACTTTCTACTCCACGTCTACCCAAATCCACACCAAACATCAATACATCCCATTATGTATGGAACCCAATTGTAAGACTATTTCACTTCTCTTTCGTCACTTCCTCATTTTACACGATTTTACTAATAACCATTTTCTTTCTTTTTTTGATATTCCAAATTTCTAACAAAAAACTCACGCCGACGACGAGAATTAACAGCCTTAAATTATTCACAGCGCACACAATTTATTATTTCAGTTAGGGCAAGTCTTCACTCGCTGTCAGGACGATTGCAATCAATTTGCCTCTTTTATTTCCAACCTCTTCGACTTTTTAATTTTATTCAAGCTTTAAATCCTGTCACCATATGCTGATTCCATCTCATTCGCTTTAATACTTTTACTCCCCTACATCCGCCATGTCAATATTATCTAAATATACGCAAAAGTAACTCATCATGCATATATCATACACAACTATTACCGCCAACTTCTTAACATAAATCAAACTTTCATTAAACAGAATAATTTCGGCTACAACTACATGCACATAGGCAATATTTCAAATCACCATCAATTACACTAAAAATACATATGCACAAAGTCGCCAAAAGTTGTCTATTATCTTTGCAATAAAATTGGCGAATTTATTTGAGTGTGTAACTGTGTCGAGTAAAACTTTTGGTTGATATTGTTTTTTTATGGTGAATATATATGAAGATGATGTGTATATGTGGCTAAAAGTCAAATACGAGTGAAGTGTGTAGCGGCCGTAAGAGCGCGCGATAGGCCCATGATGCTGCGAGTATCTTAGTTGATTTATGCACGTTATAAAGAAAGTTGCCACGGAATGCGAAAGCGGGGTCGTGAAACCACTTTGTTGCAATGAAATGAAGAGGAAAATGAGCTTCAAATGAGCGTAACTATTGCAATTTAACATTGTACGCATTTGAATCTACCTCCAGACAATCCAGATCTGACAAATTAATTTCGTTCGAAGTTTCCAACGTCTAAGAATTGGGTTGTTGGTGCAGGAACCGTCTCGGGATGCAGCGGCCAGCGGCGTTATCATGGAAGGGAATGTGCAAACAAAATGAATAAACAAAAGCCGGATTACGGGTGAGCTTTGAGGGGTTCTCGCTAGAGCAAATACATCCTAACGCGCTCATGCACAAAGCCGCAGCGTGGTATGCCGCGTCGTGTGTGTGCAGGACACGTATATTCCTGGACGGACAGTTGGTAGACCACATCGGCCCACTACTATATCAGACCAGTTCAAGCTGTCGATAGCACTAGACCTGTTGTGCAAACACACTAGCCACGCGCGTCGATGAAGAAAATTGGCGAACTTAATCGATGAACCATAGTAAACGCGTTGCGGCCATCCTTCACTGCCTCATTTCTTGCGGCACTTAAGCGGAGACTCACCAAACATGATTCCCAATAGCAGTAATGGTCAACCAAACGCAATTACATAATTAGTTTTCCAGCAATACTTGCATCAGTGCGAAACTTTTCAAAATATTATCAATACCAGTATGTATATAGAGCAAATCTATTGACAAAATATACACAGCAGATGTTGAAAGTTGATGAAGAAACGAGAGTTCGCAGAGAATGTAATAACCTTTTACTAAAATATGAGAAAATTGTAGGTAGCATCAAGCAATTTTCGCAGCGGAGCTATATTTCGTCGAGTAAAAACAACTCCTAGCTTCTCAATTAACGTGTTTTGTTTTATGACAAATATATCAATTTGAACGTTGCGTGACAAAATTCCACTCGGAAAATCATTGCAGAGGTCATTAAATATCTCGAGTTGATAGCGTAATTTCACGGTGGCGGTTAGTATGCAGCATGTTTCTTTACACCAGGATATCATTACTCGCCTTAATTAGAGCGATGCGTCGTTCACTAATGCGTCATATTTATTTTTCCTCTAAGACGACGCTCTGATTTTGGTAAATGAAAATGACAGACCTTGTAAATAAACCAAAATTTTGAGAATTTGCAAATTACAAGTGAAAAAATTGATAGAACGTTTAGAAAATTGAAGGTTTTCCAGCACCCCCTCCCGCGGCTCTAATACGTTCAAACATCCAAACCGTTTAAATAGAAATCTTAAAAGAAGCATCTTGATGCGCTCCCCAGCCGCCTGGCCCCACTTGGCACCAGTTTTGTCGTCCTCCCCAGTTCCCCCTTCTGCTTCTCTTCTTCCGCTAACCGGGTACCGTTGCCGACTGCCGGCCCCGGCTGCTTGATTTCCCTCAGGGTCTCCCGTTTTTGTGAAGCGCGATTATGTTAAGTGGATATGAAATTCATTGCTTCCTATCTTGCACTATACGCCAATATATTGACTTTCATAAACTATCAACATTACTTCACTATGAACTCTTCACTTGACGATATGTCAAGTAAACAAAACGAACACAATAAATTTATATATGCTAACAAGCGCATTTCACCTGTGGCCAATCATATTAGATCAAAGGACTCTTTATGACAGATGTCTAATAAATTTCTAACCATATCTACTAATAAGTTCTAAGTGCCTTGCACAAGGCTCGAAAGCTTACTTGAGTTGAGGTTTTCGTATACTCACCCCAGCCACCCGGACCGAATTTAACCTCACGAGTGTTCCCGCAGGTTCCGTTAACTAACATTGTTCTGGACAAACTTTATTGTAAACATGTAGTAAGTCCTGCATTATTAAACCAACTTCAAATTGAATTTTATCTTTAGATTAATTCGATTCGATAATATCATCACTTTAATCGAAAATCCTACCCATAATAATCACCGGAAATGAAAACTTGATAAATTGATGTCTATTAAGCTCATTCAAATAACATTGTATTCGAATAGTAACACATTACAAAAGTTACTCACTCGTCGCTTCATTTTATCAAAATTTCTTTACAAAAATACCCCAAACAGAAGCTTATTAACAACGTCATTTTGTCTGCTTTTTTTAATTGATTGAATTCTTTACAAATTTCAAGTTAGGAATGTTACTTTTAAAAATTTTTTATTAAAATATAGGAAAGTTTTTTTTATATAAGAGATACATGTATTTTTAGGGTAGTTTATTGTGTTTATCGTTATGGAAAAACAGGGAGGAGGTTATAGCTTTGTGGAAAAAACTAACGTAAAGTCCACAGACACAAAACCATGCGTAAAAGCAATAAAAAAGGTCTCGTATAATACATAGGCAAAAGTAAACACAGAAAGAAAAGATAGAAAAATAAAATTGGAACATATTCCTTCAAGCCATAATCGCCACACGCTCGCAAGTTAATGTTCCATATTCCGACAACCATGTCGACAATATGGCTGAAGTGGCCGGTCTCGCTTTATGGGCCATCACCATTAAGTTACTGAGCCCAAAGTTGCGTATTCGCAATGAATCATATCTTGAGACCATCGCTGGACATCTGGAATACATCAAGAAAACACGTGAAAAAAAAACACACATAATAGTGTGTCTCAATGCTTTTAAGGAATATAATTAATTGCAACATAAATAGTAACATGAAAGACGGAGCCTTTATGCAGTAAACCGCTCCACTAATCATTTTCTTAAAAAAAGCCAATATCGCATTAAAAGCATTCACTTTATTGTTATATTTCAAGATCATACGTTATAGTAAAAGGCGAAATTCGAACCGCAATCGATCATAAGCTATTTCCGGTTATTACTAGATGCAATGAAGCGTAAACGATTCTTAGGGACGATCAGAAATGAAATAATATAGTACTAACATAGATCTCTAATCCAGATAAAATACGTTTATGGACATTAAAGACGGGTTTCTTTGTGGAACATATGCTGCTTACGATTCGAATAAATGAATAAAAATTCAAGTAGCTCCATAAAACGCAAGAATACATACACTGATTACAACCATATTGTTTAAGTATTTATCTAACATTATGCAGACGAATAAAATTGTCTATACTCAGGCTTGAAGTTTACGTCATTATTAAAAGTGATTAATTTCGTAAAAGTAAAAACATTTTTTTAATAATTATAGCTCTTAAATTAAGAAAAAAATGGAATCGTCTACTGACTCAAATTCTTTAATCGTTTGATTTTGTGTGTGTTGATTTCTTTGCATAAATGTTTACTTATTTGTTTATAAATAAATGATTGAAAAATATTGTAACGCTAAAAAAAGCAAAACCAAAACTTAAAAAAATCTGCTGAAAAATGGTTAAATTTTACAGTTTTATTAATTTAATAAATAACAAACGAAAAAAGGGGGCTGTAAGGTGGAAAAAGTCAAGATGTAGTCAAAGAAGGAAACAATTCATCTTTGATTATTTGTCAGGACGCCTAATTCTAAAAAATTACGTCGGCCAAGTGCAACGAACCGTTCAATTCTTAATTTATCTTAAAGAATAAAAGTAGGCACCCTCGGAATGTTCCGACTCGATGTAGACTTATTCCTTCCCAATTGATGAATAATCAATTACTTGTTATACAAGCGGGGTCGTCAAATATGCGCCACCTGGTTTGTGTTCTTTTCAATTGTATTCTCCGGTTCGCCCTGAATGAAATCGTCTCAATTGGAACAGGTGGGGATTTCCCCAACAAAGACGCGTATTGAAGGTTGAGATCGTTCGTTCCAGCGACGTATTAAAAATACGTCTATTTATCCACAAGAGCAATATTTACCGAAAGGGTGCAATATGCGATCGACTCAAGTAATATGTGTTGTCGGAAAAGCTTAAAATGGATTTCACACACTTGATCGTCTTTCGAAGCCCTGAATAACAAAACAAACATTTTCAATCTTTGTAATTATTATAAAAATTCAATCAAAATAAAAATTTCCAA